CTAAATTATATTTAGCGTTTCGGTTTGAAGATTTTCTCTTATTAAACATTTAAAGCATTTCGTTTCGTTCGCATGTCGTTTTTTCCATAATTTGTTGGATGCATTTTTAAAGTGTACTTTTACCCAATTCTTGTCTAAAGAACTATGTTTTCTACCAACGGTAGCAGAATTAACGGTATTTCATTTTTTTATTGAAACTAACGCGTATGTTCGTGATTTCAATATAACATTTAAATTACAAAGTTAACGTTTTCTTCTATATGTTCTTAACTATTATTAACTAAACACTTGTTGTTTTGTGTCTTCGTCACATGAATATCGATTACAGATATTTGCAAAATTTCATGATCGCTCTAGTTTTAACCGTTAGTTTAATTACCAAGAAACTAAATATATACTAATATGTTAATTAGTGAAGTTGGTTAAGACTTGACGAAATCTTGGATTTGATAAATTTTGATCCTTGTATATTAAGCAAAACTACCCACAACGGGTACATAAAATTAGCATTTTAAAATTTTTAAATATCAAACTTTATTTGTGGAAAGTCTTTTACTCGTTTATACTCTGTTGAATAATTAAAAATGCTTTTGTCAATATTCTATCATGCATGTCTCATAAGAAGAAAAGATGCATTTTCAAAGTATGACGGCGTCGATCGCCGATAGGATTAATTTCCTGTTCGCATATCAGAAATTGCAATACACGACGTCTTGACGGCGGCAGTGTGCATGATCTTGACGGCTATTGTGTACGCGAGTCTGGTCTGTTTCAGTGTCGGTATCTTTCCTGATTTTCGAAACAAAGGTAGATTGTTAGTCGCTTCTTAGTTTTTATGAAGGATAATAGAGGGTATGACGGTCTCAAATAAAGTGTCCAAACGGCTTTAGTATAATATTACAAAATGCAACAAAAATAGAAAGTTTATCTACTTATCTCGATCCTTAGATCATTCGTTACGTTACGTATCCGCCAGTGTGGTCGACTGTATGGAATTCGTACGCTGTATAACGGTTGATGATAGTGAACTTACCTGAAGCGTCCCCGGCATACCGCGGTCGTACACCATAGTCATGTTAACTGCATTCATTTCTGCGCAAAAACTAGCAGTATTTCCTCGTCACTGAGCTTGGTTAATGTACAAATGAGAATTAATCGACATGCGGGAATAAATAATAACTTTCAAGCTTAATCCACGTCTTACCAAAATTTGCCATTTACAGCGAGCGCGTTGTTTTGCTTTGCGCAAAATATGGTTACATAATTCAATTTAAATTGATATTTTTATTAATATTTATTCATTTCTATCATTAAGGAGTTCTAAATCTGTTTTAGTGAATAATTTATTGACATGATTATACTTTACAAATAGGGATTGGTAATGGATTGTCATAGTAGGTGGGAAACGATTATTTTAGATGTGTTTGCTCTTCAAAATCGACGAAGAGTTCATTCGTTCGTCTGTTGAAATGAGGTTTCACTGAAATCAATTTCATCACCACGGTAAATAGAGACATACAAAATTTTCGTGAAATTGCTTTGAAACTCAAACTTAAAAATGCTTAGTGCGTCCATGTGATGAATAAGAAGTTGTTCATGGATTTGTATGAAAATCAGAAAAATGTACATTCGTATCTGTATTTCCAAAGGTTTTTTTATGTTCTGTCTCCTTCTCACTCAACAGTATCTCCTGTGTGTCCACAAGCGTGATTAGCGTTTTTATTATTATTTATTGAGCGTTTCTTATAAAGTCGGCTTCGGTTTAAAAATATTTTCAATAATTAAGAAAAATATATTGAATATTTTTGAGGTGACCTCGAAAGCCCGCCGTTTTTGTAATAGAACCCTTTTTTGTGGAACGGAGTACATGGAACTGTTGGGAATAAACGTTTTTTTTGTTGTAAAAAAACCCTTGACGTTGACATTCACAGTGATTTTCACATGGCGGAGTTTTAAATTGAAATAGTAAACTTACGTTTAGTGAGTTGCTACGTTGATGAAATATAAATAGTGTTGTATTGAAGGACCGACTTTACTAACTCAATAATAGGTCATCAAGATAAATTATAATTAATTATTTTTTCATTTGTACGTATTTATATAAAAATAACCATTGCGCCACTGTACTATAAATACGTATAAATACGTTCTGATTAAAAAACCGAATACAGTCGTACAAGTGATTTAAAAAGAAAATAGTTCTTTAAAACAGATTTGCTTATTAATAATATTGCTCCACTAATTGTAGTGTTGCTCCAGCACTTGCAAAATAGCGGTTCGGAGTAAAACGCGAGAAACATATTTTTAGATATCTAAGCAACAAGTTTATTAACATAAATATATCTAAGCATATTATTGACATAACCTTGTTGTTTAAATTAGTACTTTAGAGGATAGCGGAAAACAAAATTGCTGATAATTTTCAGGAAGTGCCATAACATATTGAATTTTGTAATAATATTTTTTTTTATTGATAAAATGAGTTCTTTCATAAACGTTTGTCTGATGTTATACTTTGGCTCGTTTGTTTTCTGGGTTTTTTGGGTTTGGGATTTTATTTTATTTGATCGCATTAATAATAAAAAAGGAAAGACTAACTTTTTGTGTATATTACTTAAAGTTATGCAGCTTATATGACAAAACTATTATTGTGTCGAATAATAAATAAGTGCCTTCCTGGATAATTAACTCTTATGAATGTCAATGACAAGTGCGTAAGTCAATATACGAAAGTTGCCTTCAGAAGATTACGGATTTTCACCACATTTTCTGTCTCTTTCTGGCTAGGTGACAACCTCAGTGGCTTAACGGTTTGCACTGTGGGCACTGGATTTGGAGGTCCAGGGTTTGATTCCCGGTAGGACCAATTTGTGAAATGAACTTTTCTAAATTGGTTCTGATTTGGGTGTTTCGCGTCGTGCCCTGGATTGGAGTCCGTTGCTCTGGTACTCAATATATAGGAAATTCCCTAGTTTGAGACCAGGTAATTGGTACGATTGTTTGGCACATTATTATTAGTAGATAAAGACAGAAAATAGGAAAAGCTTTGGAAATTTTCGTGTTTCTACTATTTTCTATTTATATGCGAATCCAGGTCCTTATTCTCAATGCGCACTGTTTTTTTATTCGATACTTAATAATTATTGTTTTTAGTGCAAACCAGTTATAGGAATTGTTTGTAGAATGCTAATGTAATTACATAAGAACGAGTTCATCGCACTCACGTAACGTAGCAAATTATTAGACATATGCCTCGTAATCGTAAAATCGGGTATGTAGATACTCAAAAACTGAATTTCAGTCCTGCTTGTGCACTGAGAAATTTAAAAAAAAGTCCGAAATTTAAAAGCTAGTTATTTTGCGCCGTTGTCATTTTTTTTAAAACTATGAATCTTTTTCATTAAAATTTTGGAGAAAAGCTCTATATAAACCTGGATATAAATGGCAATTGTTGGAATTGTATTTGCATGAGAAGAGAAGTCTGGTCTTTTAATTCCTACTCATCCAGCCAATGCTTTATTTCCTTTTCTAAAATAATGTACTATTTTTCAACTTTGGTTAGTCGCATTTGCATTGTATTCGACATTTTTAAAATGTTCTTAGTTCAAACTAAAATGTTCCATTATTTATTTCTGTTACTATTATATTTGTTTATTTACATAGCTTAGATTGTAATTTTTAAATGTATTTATACAACACAAATGTACTTAATTGTTGTTAACTGATTTAATGAAAATGTAAAATAATCTTTAAAGGAATGTTAAACTAAATGTATTTATGGAGTAATCATATTGAGCATACTTGTGGAATAATCAAATTTATTTGTGAATGCCTTTGCGACAGTTGATTTTATGCAAGCTTTCAGGTTTATTCAATGTGGCCCTGCCATCAAAGTCGGTTTGTTATAGATCATTGCGTAGCTATCACAGCCAGCTTTGATGAGCATGGCCTCATTCGTAACAGCCTTCTCGAGCGGACGTCGTCTCTAGCAGCAGCCACTTCTCGTTTCTCGGGCCTAGCCTGTCAAAGCGGCCGTGAAATGTCTATCCGTCTTCATATCACAGCCACTTTGATGTGGTCGGTTTACGGAGACCGCTGCGTCCTAGGTAGAGAAGTCTTTTGCCAGTCCGTGGCCCATTCGTAAAAATGGTTGTGCTTTGTCGTCCACTCATATCACAGCCATTTTTGACGAGTTGGGCTGTGCGACATGACCTCGAACGGCGCGACTGTGCTTGCTGCATATCATACTTGTCTCTCACAAAGTGGTTGTCATGTGCGTTCCCCTGTCATATCACAGCCAGCTTTGATGAGCGTCAAGTGTGAACCTCACCGGCGGCGCTTTTTCGACTCACCACCACGTTACCAACATCGGCGTCTGTTGCAGCAGGGAGCCGACAAAGTGGTTGTGGAATGGTTCCATCGCATATCACAGCCAGCTTTGTTGACTCTTGAAGTTGCTACAACAACAAGGCAATCTCAAACACTCGTTGGATTTTTGTTTTATTTTATCCTTGATTATTTTATAGTCAACAAAGTTACATAATTAATTGAAATTTATATTCTATGTGTGCACTATGAGAAGTAATTTATTTATATAATAAATGTATGTGTAATATTGCTCATAATAATGTTTTATGTTGTCATGGTATAATATAAATTCTTAAAAATTTAGTTGTAGATCAAATTACAAATTCTTCTTTTTTACAATCGTGCCGTCAGTTTTACTCCACTGGTGGTACGCGAATAAATTTTCGTTCTCCTGTTCATTAATCATTATTTTAAGCGTAACACTAAAATATTAAAATTACTACACTGTTCTGGGGTTCAACAGAAAACTCGAAGCTTATATGTAGTCCAGTGCTTAAACATGTGCTCTAATAACTAATTTGAAGAGCACGCAAATCTGAGCATTGATCATTCATTCCATGCAATGAATTTTTGTAGCGCAATTCATAAAAGTTAAAATAAAAGTTGTAATATAATTTTTTTAACATTTTCAGGTTTGGCGCGATCCCTGGGACTACTGAACCGTCATTTTAGGAGAATCTTTAACAGTGATTTTAGTGTGTTTGTAATATATGATTATTATTGTTATTTCAACTATTATATATTTTTATTGATTAAACAAGTATTTGTGTCATTTCTATACTTGAAATCCTAAATTGTTCAAATCATATGTAAGTATGCTTTTGAATAATTTGGAAACTATTTAGGAACTCTAAGAGTCGTATTCTAGAACTCTATTCAATGCTCACGTCAGAATTGCGCTGGAAATACGACCCTAATGGCAGGGACTTGAGTATGATATCAAGTGCTTTAAACCATACTCAAATCCTGACTTGAGCATTGAGTAGAGTTCTAGAATACGACCCTAAGACTCAATTTATGTATATCGCGCATGCTCGAGAATGCACGCGCATTCCGCGTACGAATTAGCTCGTATCTAGTTTGTACGTTACATAATTGACTACAAAGTTCATTATGCTATGTACAATATCGCTACAAAAATTCACTTCCATTCCGTTCCGCCGCAATATAAATTGAGCCTAAGTCGTATAGGCAATATCAACGTTAGTTTTTTTTTGTATAATTTTTTTATCTGTCCGTAGTGAAAACCAGGAACCCTTATGATTTCGTCATAAACATCTGCCTGACTCCCTCGTTTGTTCAACCCAAACGAAAGGGGCCTGATAAGTCTGACGGCATTGTCTGATTTATATTTGATGTATTTTTATAGTGATACTATTAATACAATCAACTCCGTTAACGTTAGGCAACCAAAATGAACTTGTACGTTAAATTCAGCATGAGATTCAAACCAATCAATTCGATTTTTTTTTTGTGCCTTATTGTAAATAGTTATACTATTACTACTTATATAATTACCTTAATTCGCTTATACTAGACCTCATCTCTACACCAACAATAAGTACAAGTGTAGACTGATGGTTGTTTGTTATTTAATCACGCTGTAAAAGCTGATTAGATGTCTGTTTAAGATCGTTCGATCAGGGAAATTATGCAGTTTTGTTATTATATACATACTGTATATTATAATTTATAATACACATTGGCATATAATTAACCTCTTTCTTTTTCTGCGAAACAAGTCGTGCTTCAGCGGTAAGTACGTGCCCTATCGTGAACACCATTAAAGTACAGACGTAGTGGTTCAATACTGTAACTACATGGTAGACGAGTAACATGCAATGGTCATAAAAAATCCATACAATGGCAAAGGGAACTTGAAGACTAAACCCCCCTAAAGCGTGAAACACACAGAGAGCGGGTGCGAGTTGGGTCGTCCCGCGCTCTTCGCGTTCTTATAAATACACGGAATTAGACCGCCGCGGTCCCGACCCGACTAGCACCCGCTCTCTGTGTGTTTCATGCTTAAAGGGGTCTCCCTAGGACTGTCTAATCCTTAATAAAACTAACACGTCCAAGAAAGAAAGTACCTATACATCAAGTTCGTAGTTGAGAAAAGGCGAAGTGGACATTGTAATAAGTGGTTTTGGACCTTAATTTGCCAAAAAGAAAAATATTATTGAAGTTTTAAGAAGTGTTATGAAGATTAGTATAAATTTATATTCATATTTGAGTAAAATTGTACATCGGAGATTGACATAGGTAGATTGTAATTACTATTTTATTTCCATGTTTATTGGGAGGTACTTACATAACATTGAAGTATTATTCTTTTTTTTTTTTTTTTGTCGGGGGAAATCTTTATGGATACCCCTGAGCCCAGGGAGACTCAGGGGTTATGTGGGGACTCTCCCTCCAGGCTGGGTGAAGTATTATTCTGCCCTCAGAACGAGAAAAGGCTGTATAAAGTATGCATAGTTGTGCGTTTTTTCGTTACGAGGGCAGTATTAGATAGATTGATAGATAAACACTTAATTCACTAATATAACACAAATTCAGATTGAATACAAGAGGAAAAATATAAAACATTTTTATCATAGCAGTATATTAGTATACCTACATAATGTATGTATTAGACTAAAAGTGCAACATTTTCAAATAAATACAATGAGTATTAGTATCTATTTACCTACAGCATTATAAAAGCTAGATATTGTCTGATAATTTCTCGCGTCTACAGTCTGCATATTTCACAAGTACGTGAGGCGCACATAAGTTTCCTGAATAAATAAGAAAAAAATACTATAAATGGTCAGAAATGAATTTATTGTTTCTCAAAATATTCTCCGTTAGCCTTAATGCACTTTTTCATACGAGTGAACCAATTTTGAAAACATTTATGCCACTCCTCCGTGACAATCTCTGAAACATATTTTTTATACTCTAGACAGCCTCTTCAGGTGAGGAAAATCGTTGACCTCGTAACTGGTCCTTGATTTTTGGAAAGAAATAAAAGTTCCAAGGTGCCAGGTCGGGACTGTACGCGGGATGGTTCATAAGGTCAACGTTGTTCACCTTCAAAAATTCATTTGTCTGTCTAGCCGTGTGAGAACTGGCATTATCGTGGTGCAAGATGATACGGCGTTTACTGTTACTTTTACGGAGTTTGTCAATAACTTCCGGCAAACAAATGGTCGTGTACCAATCGTTATCTACGGTACAAAGATTCTCCAAAGCAACAGTAGCCACGTGTCCAGTTTTTTTTTAAATAAGAAGCAATCATCCGCTTAGAGGCACGGTGCACGCGCGCCACTTTGGTTAGTTCGGCTCATCTCGAAAGACCCATAGCTCGATTGCTGCTTTGTTTTGAGACCGTAACTATAAATTCATGTTTCGTCACCTGCTACTATGTTCCACACTAAATTTGACGCCCCTTCGTTGAATCTGGTAAGCATGGCATTGCACCAAGTGACGCGATCCGTTTTTTGAGCCTTAGTCAAATTGTGTGGGATCCATGGAGAGCATAGCTTTTTCACACCCAAATGTTTGTGTAGTATTAGATTGCATTTGACTCATGCCTATGCTTAAAGATTCCTGAATCTCATGGTACGTCACATGCCTGTCTGTTTTGATCATAAGGCGCACAGCATCGATGTATTTGTTGTTCACAGCTGTGGACGGGCGACCATCGCGAAATTCGTCACTGAGATTCACACGACCGCGTTTAAATTCTGCAAACCAGTTATAAATATCTGGTCCGTCCCAAAAGTATCGAACATTTTTCAGGAAAAATACTTTTATTGAACTTATCGGTACCATACATTAGTACTCTTCAAAATAACACCCTTCAGCATCGATGCACTTTTGTAGGCGAGTTTTCCATGCCCGGAAGGCCCCCTGGAAGACGTCAACGGGTAGGTCCTTCAGCGCCCTCGTCGTAGCTTCTTGGATGTCCTTAATTGTGCCCCAATGCTTGCCTTTGAGCTTCGACTTGATGCTGGGAAACAAGAAGAAGTCTGCCGGGGCGACGTCAGGACTGTAGGGAGGCTGCGGGACCAGCGGGCTTCGTCGGTCACCTCTTCCCTTCCGTCACGGAACATCTTGTGCCACTTCCTGACCGAGGATTCGGACAAGGCTTTGTCCTTGAAGGCCTGTTTAATCATCTCGTTGGTTTCCACAGTATTTTTGCCGAGTAGAACACAAAATTTCACTGCGTACCTCTGTTCTAACGGATCCGTCATCGCGCTACTTTTAAAAACTTCGACGAGGTGTCGTTTAGAGCTCTACGCGAACGCACGTCCTGCCGCTCCAGGTGCTCGGAGCCAACTGGGACCGGTCGCGCTGTATCGGCTAGATCCCCCCACCACTTTCTGTTGCCAAGCGGAGCGCTTCCCGCCGTTCGGCAACACTCCCAAAAAAAATGTTCGATACTTTTGGGACGGACCCTGTAGTCGTCTTGGATGGTGCTTCATCGCCAAAAGCACTGCCTGTCTGTTTTGATCATACGGCGCACAGCATCGATGTTTTTTTTATTCTATTCTAATGTAAGTGTGCATTTGACCTCCATCTCACCTGATGGAAAGTGACGATGAGGTCGATGATGGAGCATGCACACCTAGATAATGCCTATTTACGCTCGCCTTGAACAGGTTCAAGGAACAAGTCTGCAGGCAGGGAATTCCACTCCTTAGCCGTTCACAGAAGTGGACGGGCGACCATCACGAAATTCGTCACTGAGATTCACACGACCGCGTTTGAATTCTGCAAACCAGCTATAAATAGTCGTCTTGCATAGTGCTTCATCGCCAAAAGCAGTTTGAAGCCGAGCGAAGCTCCGCTGAGCTGTTAAATTACACTTAAAGTTGTAGAAAATCATACCTACTACGAAAATTTTCACGAGTTAAATCCATGGTGATGTAGACAACCAATTTATAAAATGACGCCACAGTGTAAAAACAAGTTACAGTCAGATGAAACGATATTAGATGAAACAAACTATATTCTACAGCCAAAGAGTTCCATTTTCAAATGTTGTAATTACTTTTTAAATATTGTTTATGTAAGTGGCCAGTTCCGGAAACTTATAGTGCGCTTTATGTACTCGTAAGTATTATAAATCATAGCCCGACTCTTACTTAATACTCCCGGCACGCTGTCATTCTGACAGATTGTACGAAAGCGATGCGTCCTATTCACACTTACACAATATAATTTTACGCGTGTTTTCTGTAAGATAAAATAATTTATAGTCTACTTTTTATATTATTTTGTGATTTGAAAACAAAGTCATCGTGTTTGACAGTAAAGATAATTCACAATTGAAAGGGAGAGATAAAAAAAGACAAGTTTGCGCCTAGAACACAGTACCTGTTATGAGTCGAGAGAGAGAGAGAGAGAGAGAGAGAGAGAAAGAAAGAAAAAGAAACAGAGACAAGCTAAGCCAAAGAAAAATCCGTTTGGTGGAAAGTTTTGATAGTGAAAAAACAGTGAGAAGGGTAAGTTTGTGGAAAACGAGTAAAACATCCCGAATAATAAAGTTAAGTAACAATTGAAAGGGAAAGATAAAGCTAGGAAATATCGAAAGAGCGTATCGACATTCGTGAAATAGATTGATTAGATTTCTAAGGATTGTTGTTAATTAAGTTAGCATCTGTCACCTGTATGTCTTATATAAGATTATTCATTTATTTAAAGGAATAGATT